GCTATTTCTATTTCTGATATTTTGAGGAACCACCATACTATTACCTACAGTGGCTACACTAATTTACATTCTTTACAGCAGTATATAAGCACTCCTTTATCTCTACATCTTGCCAACACTTGTTATTTTTTGTCTTTTTGCTTTTAGCCATTATGATAGGTGTAAGTTGACATCTTTTGATTTGCATTTCCCTGATGATGTGTGATATTGGGTATTTTTTCATGTGTCTGTCATCTGTTTGTCTTTTTGAGAAAAATGCTTATTTAGGTCCTTGGCCCATTTTTTTTTTTTAAAGATTTTATTTATTTATTTGACAGAGATCACACGTAGGCAGAGAGGCAGGCAGAGAGAGAGGAAGGGAAGCAGTCTCCCTGCTGAGCAGAGAGCCCGATGCGGGGCTTGATCCCAGGACCCTGGGATCATGACCTGAGCCAAAAGCAGAGGCTTTATCCCACTGAGCCACCCAGGCACCCCCTTGGCCCATTTTTTAATTGAATTTTTTGGGGGGGTTTGAATTTTGTAAGTTCTTTATGTATTTTGGATATTAATTCATTATTAGATAGGATATATCTTATTGGATATATCATTTGCAATCTAGTTTCCTGTTCAGTAGGTTGCCTTCATTTTGTTGATGGCTTCCTTTGCTGTGGAAAAGCTAAGTGTTAAATTTTAATTTATAAAGATGAACAACATTCATGAGCAACAAGGCATGTGTAAAAATTACTGAGTTCTACTGAAGATTCATGAAGTTGACACAGGGAGGGTGAACTGTAAATAAATGTGTTTGGTGGAGATTACTATGTTGTTGTTTGTTTATACTAGTTACAGTGATTAATGAACTGCTGTATCAGGCCTCAGTATCCACCCCCAACCTCTGCTGGGTTTTTTTGGCCAAGTGAAGGGACGGTTTGACTTTTTTGATACAATGCCCATTTGTTCACTTTTCTGAAACTATAATAATTCAGAGCATTGGCAGACAGAGAATATGTCCCAAAGTGCACAGATTATATTGTCTAGTGATCCCTACTAATGGAGGAACAGGGGAGTACCTGAACCTAGCTTTCTCCTCATGGCCTTATGAGTGGCCTGTGAGAGGGGAAACTGTGGCTTCATAGTAGAGCTTTTCTCTTTTTTTTTTTTTTTTTGTCAGCTACAGGGATTTTTTTTTTTTTTAGATGAATTTGCCCAGAGACACTTGGGTATTTTTGGCCCAATGAAAGTCTGTTGTTAAAAAGATTGATATTTAAAATATTTGAAAGTTGTAAGCCTCAGGGACTTATCAGTCAGAAATATAATGGTCACATACATACAACAGGATGGCTGTGCTAACCTACGCAACTGAGTAGTAGTCCTTTTTAATGGCCCACTTCACTAAGTACCTCAACCTAATTAGGAATGATTTTGACTACAGTGGTCTTGCAGCTATTTTTCACATACAAATAAAATGTTTTGAGGTAAAAATATTCATTTTTCATGTGCAAAAGAATGTTACAGTTGACCCTTACACAACCCAGGAGTTGCAGGCACTGACACCCTGCACAGTCAAGAATCTCTATAACTTTTGATTCCCCCCCAAAATTAACTACTAATTGCCTAAGATTGAATGGAAACATTACCAGTAACAGTCACTTAATACATACTTTGTATGTTGTGTATATTATCTACTGTATTCTTACAATAAAGTAAGCTGGGGAAAAGAAAATGTTAGGAAGAAAATCACAGGAGATAAAACATTTATATATTGTACTGTAATTATTGAAAACAGCCCACACATAAGTGGATCCACAGAGTTCGAATCTATGGTGTGCAAGGTTCAACTGTAACTAATATATTTTTTGGTATCACTCATTAAAAGTTAATAGCTGTGGTGAGCCTCTTGAGGTCAGTGACTGTTTCCTCTTAAGCTTTGCAACTTCAGCCACCATTCCTCTGCTGGATACAATATGGATATTTTCTGTAATTGTTAAAAACATGCCATCATTCTCCCTTGTTGGAATTAAGAAATACATTCAGTTTTTTGAATTATAAAACAAATGGTTGATTTATCTTCCAAGCATTTCTGTATATGGTCCATTCTTAACTATCTGAAAATTATAGTGCTTTTTATATTTGTAAATGTTAAGCTATGATCCACAGAACCTCAGTAAACTCCTGAAATTAGTCATAGAACTTTACACCTTTATGGTTTCTGAAACGTTTGTCAGTCTTCACTGATGTTTAGATTTGTGATTGGACCAACAGGTCCAAAGAAGTAGCAATCTAACTAAAAGGAATTATAAAAATGTTAGCTTAATTACGTTATTGTAAGAGTGCTAGGAAATTTTGAACTGTGGGTAGCAGACCTGCAATGCATAGCAATTTACCTTGCATAAGAATTTATGTATACAAATGAGAGATATAGTGCATTGATTATTAAAATGTTTTATTCATTCACTCATTATTTTTGTATTCATTTTTTCAATTTCGGTTGTATAATTTACCAAGTCAACCTTTTATGAGCCAGACACCAGGGTAGTTCACAACTAAAACCTGATAAATCTTTGAAAGTTCTATCTTAAATAAACTATTACATATACTGTGAAATCTAATTTTTATATTCAATTTTATTCGTAATCAGTCTTGGAGAAAATAGGACAGAAGACACTAAAATAAAATGGAAACCCTTTTGAATGATTGCATAGTTCACAAGTTGTGCATAATTAAGATGAATGTCATATTACATAAAATATATTGTAAAAGTGAAAATATAAATGATTCTTTATGTAATTGTAGGGTGTTTCATTTGTTTTTATCTTTTTGGCTTTTTGTTTTTAGTTTCTGGCTTATTTGCTTTTTTTTCACATGACATACAGACTCATGTAGTGGCTTTGAGCTTGCCTTGTCTGTATTCAAATCTCAACTCTGTCCCTTCTTTGCTATATGACCATCTGCATGTTACTTAATCTCTCCATGTTAAACTTCCTCAACTATGAAATGGGGATGATAATAATACTACCTAAAAGAGTTGTATTAACTGGTTTAACATGTAAAAGTCCTTATAAGACCACCTGAGATGAATTAAGCATTATTATATATAGGCTCATTATGTGTTTAGTAGGAAAACAAAAGCCTTGCAAGAGTGTCTAGATTGATTCATCCCAAGTCTACTTCTTACTAGCTTTTTAACTCTGAGATAAGTTACTTATCTGGGCCTCAGTTTCCTCATGTAAGATTAAGATATTTATTATATCTACCTCTTGGACTTGCAGAGTTTCAATGAATTACACACATGGAATGATTAACACAGTATTTGGCCTATAAGTAAGCCCTCAAAAATTTTTAGCTGTTCTATTTTTTTAAATATTGATTTATTCATTTTAGAGAGAGAGCGAGCGTGAGTGAGTGTGGAGGGAGAGGAAGAGAAGAAGCGGACTCCTAGCTGAGCATGGAGCACAGTGCAGGGCTTAGTCTCCCACCCTAAAATCGTGACCTGAGCCAAAACCAGGAGTCAGTGGCTTAACCGACTGTGCCACCGAAGCATCCCTATTACTATTTAGTATTTTATTATAAATACAAAATGAAGACAGTAATTACTGTCTTACCATTTCAAACAACAGTTGTGATCAAGAGTGTATCTGTGAAGATCAAGTGAACAATTTAGTGTAATCCAGAAGTGTGTTTTACTTACTAATTATCTGATACTTTAAAAAATTAATTGTACTGTTGTGGGAGCACCTGGGTGACTCAGTTGGTTAAGCATCAGACTTGCAATTTTGGTCATGCCATGATTTCATGGGTCCGGATATCTAGCTCAGACTCAGGCTCTGCACAGAGTCGGCATGGGATTCTCTTCCCCTCCACCCATGCCCCACCATTCACACATTCTCTCTCTCTCTCTTTCTCTCAAATAAATAAATAAAATCTTTAAAAAGTTAATCTACTATTATAAATAATCAGAATTGACTAAAACTAACTGAGGGTATATTTCTTACTGGTATCTTTTCCTAGTCTTGGTGGCAAGCTAGAAGGCTACTCTATTTTTTTTTTTTTTTTCAATTTAGGTTGCTAAGTGACCTTGTCATATAATTCAGTAAATAATATACATAAAAGCTATTCAAATTGAGCACAAGTCCTAAACTATTTTTTCATAAATAGCTTGAGCTATGCTATCATGTTAATTGTCTTCATTGTATAGGCCCCTTGGCTTTAAGAAATGGAAACAAATTCAGAAAAACTCAATGAAAAAGGCTATTTCCATAAGCTCCTCTTTTGCACTATTTTTAGATTCCTGATCTGCATATTTGGAAAATTGTTGACCTTAGTATCTTTACTTTTACATATATTATCAATATAAGCCATGTTAGAGGATTTCCAAAATGCAATTATTTTCAAATAATTGTTGATTATCAGCTAGAATAGGCTAAATATATGGGTATGTTTTTCCACACATTACTCTGCTAAAAATTTAATGATTGTTTGATAAACAGACTAATTACATATAAAATTATGCTTCTTCCACTTATTTTACTATTTTCACAGAAAATCTTATGCATATAAGTCTTTCTTAATTCCAAAAATGGCTATTGATTGCTTTAGTAATTTAACATAATTAACAAAATTATTTTATCTTAATTTTTGGTTTCTTAATCTTTTATTTCCAATTAATTTTTAAACATATTTAGAAAAGATATGAAATTTCTCTTTTGGTGATTTCTGTTGACTTTCAACATTTTTAAAAGAATTAATTTAAGAAAGTATAAACATACTGTTATCATGTATAAATGAAATTCCCAGAAGGGAAGAAAATCACATTCTAAAGTAGTGATTATTGTTGAATCTTACTACTAAAAATACTATTGACTTATTTCATAGTTTTGACAAAAGGATCTCAGAATTTTCAAAGACTAATAAGAGGAAATGCTATTCACAAGGAATTTTTTCTAGCTCACTCCTGACCTTGATCAACAGTTTGGAAAATACTTCTCAAATATGCTACATTGTGATTTTTTTTTTCTTGTTAGGAATCTTTCCCTGAAATTAACAAAAGACATTGATCAGGAAGTCAGGTGCTCCCATATCAGCCGAATGCCCAGCAGTCCATCTGCAGACTGGCCCCTGCAAGGTGTAGAAGAAAATGGAGGCCTCGATTCTTTGCCCTTCAGACTGATGTTACAGGACTGCACAGCCGTCAAGACGTTATTATTGAAGATGAAGAGAGTTCTTCAAGAGGTAATGGTTTACTCTTAAGATTAACGTCTTTCAGTGCTGGTAGACAGTGGAGTCCGCAGACGGTTAGTCCCTCCTCTGTTAATAATTAACTGCATGGCACTGGGCAGGGGTCAAGTATCCTCTCGCAGCTTAGATTTTCTCATTTGTCAAATGGAGGATGTGGAGCTCCAGTTTATTTATTTATTTATTTATTTTTTAAAGATTTTACTTATTTATTTGACAGACAGAGATCACAAGTAGGCAGAGAGGCAGGCAGAGAGAGGAAGGGAAGCAGGCTCCCTGTTGAGCAGAGAGCCTGATGCGGGACTCGATCCCAGGACCCTGAGATCATGACCTGAGCAGCGGCTTAACCCACTGAGCCACCCAGGCGCCCTGGAGCTCCAGTTTATAAGGTACTCTTCAGCTCTAAAATTCTAAGATTCTCTGAAGGAATTGAAAAAGAATAAATTGACACCAAATCTGGGCAAAGTTGGTTAAAGAGAAATGAGCATCAGCTTTTAACCTATGTTTGTTTATATGTTGTTACAAAGATATTGAGAGACCTATTAAATGGACTTCTTTTTTTTTTTTTTTTTTGTAAGAGAGAGAGGAGGAAGGAGGGGCACAGGAATAGGCAGAGAGAGCATCCTAAGCAGTCAACCCACCCAGCACCAGGCCCAGTCCCATGACCCTGAGATTATGACCCGAACCAAAATCAAGATTCCAATTCTCAGCTGACTGAGCCACCCAGGTGCCCTAAATGGATTTCATTTTAATCATATTGATCCTTTATTTATATGATACCATAAAAGTAGTGTTAATCATTTTTGTCCCAGTTAACAATCAGTCTAGTGAGATCTAATCTGAGTGAGTGATTTGCCCACTGAATACAGTTGCCCTCCTACAGTCTGTGCTCAGATGATGAGTTAGTTAGGAGAATGCATAGTGGATTATTTCCTCTTTATGCCAAGTAATCAGCCATTCTTTAGGATTTAAGTATGCTGTGGGTTTATTTTTATATTTACAACTGTTTTCTTTGGGGATTTCTATAAGCAGTGTACATATTAATGTTATTTCAGACATATAAAGTGAGAGGTCAGAAATTTTAAATGACTTTGTCTACTAGTTGTGTGAATTCAAAACAACAGCCTGGGATTTCTGACTCCAAAGTTAGTGACTTTTTACTGTATCCCACTATTGTTCAATTGATTCATAGTAATTGATAGGAGATGATAATAAATAATGTGAGAACAGAAAAATATAAATATTTAGAATGAGTAGTATTATGGATCCCTTACAAAGATGATCTCTAATAATTTGCTTTTCTAACACTTCAGTGATAATAATAATAATGCTAGCAGCTACCACTAGAGGCCAGGATGGAATCAGGAAGAGAGAAGGGAATTTAAGAGAATACATACCATAGACTATTGGGAGCATTCAGTCATGTGTTCTTATCAGCTGTTAATGTAAAAACTGGAAGAGATATCTGCATTCTATACCAGTTATATTGCTGGGGTGGTTTTGGGTCTAGAATCTAAATAGTGGTATGCAGGAGTAATGCTTTTATATTTGATCACTGTTAGAATTTCAGGAATTTTATGAACTGTTAGTTATAAAATTATAACATAGTCTTTATATAGTTTTTATGTCAGACATAAAAACTAAATTATATACACTTACAATGAAACACATTATATTTTTAGAAGGGTAATCAATACTCAAAACCCATTGTTTCCTATTTATTTTACTATATTCTACTATTAACTATTTACATCTACTGGATTTATATGTGGAAATATTACATAAGGGCTGCTGTGTAAATTTTCCAATTTTAGATACATATATGTCATTTTGGTAGCTTGAAATCAGCCACACAGGAGTTTTATGCCATAGGAATTGACAAAAACTACAAATTAGGGCTTTAATTTTTGGTAAGCCTGTTAAATATTTAAGACGGCACTATATTTATGACTGTGTGGTTTCTATACTGAAATATAAGTGTTTTGCTGCACTTGTCAAATCTCTCTAACCTTTGGCTTAACATGCAGCCCAAATCTCTTTGAACAAAGCAAGCTTAATAACAACTGTTATATTGAAAGATACTAATCTCAAAGTCCGTAGTGTTCAACTGTTCAGCTAGAGCCGCTCCCTTGGTCTGAGTTTTAATTAAAAAATCAACAAGTAAAAGGGAAGTAGGAAGAACAGACAGGAAGTGTCAAAGACTTTCTTAGGGTACTTAATTTAAAAAATATTTAATATTTAAATATAATTTAAAAAATATTCAGTGATATTCACTATGGAGTCAGGGTCCTGAATATATTGAGATTGTTTTTATACTTCCATCTGTTTTTATTCATTAAAGAATATTTGAAGAAACTGAAGAGAATTGATTTTTAAAGCTGATGTATAATGAGTAATAATTACTTGTTTGCTAAGCCCATCCAGAGAGTGGGGGGTCTTACTCTTTATTGTCAACAAGAAAAGCAATATTATGATATGATTAGCATAGACAACTGTTCTAGTCCTAATAATAGATGCCTTTAAAGAAAGTTGTTTATTTAAATATTCTTGGGACGCCTGGCTGGCTCAGTTAGTGGAGTATGCAACTCTTGATCTCAGGGTTGGGATTTGAGCTCCATGTTAAATGTAGAGATTACTTAAATAAATAAACTTTAAAAAGTGTTCTCTAAGCCAGGAATTTTCAAACAGCAATTTACTTCTCAGTTACTTTTTTATGTCGCATGGCAGTCCCACTTTTATACGCAGATTATTTTTTAACTTTAAGAAAGGCCCGTTTTTTTGGATTTGATTATTTATTTGATTTTTAAAATGAAAAGGAATTAATGAGTTTAGTATATTATGTTAAAAAATGCTCCTACTTAAGATTTTTCCCAGTGGTGTTCTGTTGTATTAAATTTTAATTTTGAGGTGGGTTAAATGTGGATAATTTGAGTGGAATCTCATACTTTTAATTTTGTTCTCCCTTTTTGAAGATCATTTGCAATTATTAAAATGCACATGCATATTTCCAACAGCTCTGAAAACGTTAACTCTTTCATTTGAAAAAAAAAAAAAAGACTGAATTTGTGCCCTTAGAAATTTTATTGTCACTTTATTCTTCAGCATTAGTGATAAAAGTCACTGTAGCAAGAGGAAAACTATGTCATTTTATTTCTTCCTTTTTTGTTATTTTTTCCACATAATTCTATTAACGGTATAAGAAAAGAATGTTTAATGTCTACAGAGAAAGTTTCTGTTCTCTTTCCTTTTAGTTTGTTCTGTTCTCTTTTGTCACTCTCTCATGAAGTTTGTTCATACTGTAGTAACTAACTGAGAAGACTACTGGGAAGAGATTTCAGGTAAGAGGAGTAGTACAATTTCTAGAAAGATAACAGCTAATAAGAACATTTATCTAAGGTTGTTTGTAATCCCCCACTACTATCCATACCTTTTTAGTTTATATTTAACAGACAAGAACTGGGAATGTACCTAGCAAATTTCCTGAATTATAAGGCATTAAAAAAGAAAGAAAGAAAGAAAGAAAGAAAGAAAGTTAGATAAATAACAAAAAAAATCGTTAATGTTGTGAGATGAGTCTGTTCTCATAATATAGCTAGATTAGTGAAGATCAGAATATCATTTATGTAAGAATCAATATAATTTACAAAGCCATAAATATTTAGGTTTGTAATTGGTGGTAGAGTTCTTACCTATTTTCCTTTCTCTTGTCACAACAACCTAATAGTTCAAACTATTGAATTTTATTATCTCCAAAAATAATAATGGAAAATTTTCAAAGGTATTTTTCTAATTTTTTCTATTTTTTATTTTTTTTAAATATAAGTCACATATTTATATAATGAACTTCACTATTCGTCATTATTCAGTGGGCATTTAAGAGTTTTTTTTTTTTTAAACACATTTCAGTAAAATGATTTCAGTGATTTTATAACTGACATCTTTTCTATCCACACACATCAAGAGCAAATGAAAAGCCTATAGAATCCCAACTCCAGCAATGGACAATTACAGATGGGAGGAAGGCAACAGTGAATAGTCATAAAGTAAGGAAATTTACCAAAAGCAAGCAGTTAGCCATGTAAATGTAGATAGCACTCTAATAATTAGACTTCTTTTTATATTTAATTTTTCAAAATAACAAAATCACAAGTTTCTGCTGTCTGCTTTATGTTTATTTGTGCTTGCTCAAAAAATGTGTTTAAAGTAAAAATTGAAAAAAGATGTGCCATTAAAACTGCAAACACAAGAAAATGAATGGCTGCACTGTCAAATAGATATAAATATAAGATGTATTACCAGAATCAAAGGCCTGTGTTTCATACTGATGAGTCAGTTCATCAGGAAAACATAATTATACACGTGGATGGCCTATTTATGTAGCTTATAAATATATGTTACAAAAATCTGACAAAACTAAATGAATAGACAAATTCACACATAGATAATTTTAACTGTGTTCTCTCAGAATTGATAAAACAATTACACATGAAAATCAGAAAATTTTCAGAAGATTTAAACATCATCAAGTTCTTTAACGCCACTGAGATTTATAGATTATTGCAATTAATAATAGAATTATACAATCTTTCCAAATCCATGTGGAACATCACCAAGACAGAGAATATGCAAGGTCATAAAAAAGTCTCAATAAATTGGAAATGTAGATGATATATATATATATGTAAAATGAAATTAAATAGGAGTCAGAAATGATTAACTAACTAGAGAACATCAAATATTGAAAATTAAACAACAAATTACTATATACCTAATGGGTCAATTTGAAAACTTTGAGGGGAATTTTAAAGTGTTTGAAGTGAGATGATAATGATGTTGATAATATAACACATTTGTGGTATATAGTTGAAACCATGCTTAGAAGAAGTTCATAGTTTTAAAAGTTATACTTAAAGGAAGAAGGTGCTATAATTGAAAATCTAAGTTTCTTCTTTAAGAAACTAGAAGGGCAAATTAAACCTAAAGGAAGAAATAGAAAG